GCTGAAAAGCCTCCTGGGAGGTAAACGGACCCTCCCGCTGCAGTGAAAAGCCCCATCACTCCCCTTCCCCCATTAAATACTGGAGAGAAGAAAACCCTTGAGGGGCAGAAGGCCGAACGGGATGCCTAGGGGCTTCTCCTGCAGGTACTTCTGTGCACGGCTCACGCGCCACAGCTCTCTACGCAGGCACGACGGCTCGCTTCCACGGAGCTCGTGGCAGGCACGAGGCTTACGACCCCGGCACGGGGCTGTTGTGGTCAAGCCCTGCGTTCCTCCTTACCGGGGCTGAGGGGCTGGAGAGGGGCTGGAAGAGAGTCCTGCCTGGCGAAGATCTTCTCAGCAAAGCGGTTCTGCTTCCATCTGCGCAGGATGCCAACCGGGGCAAAGCAAGCGGCGTGGAAGACGTTCCAGCTGCGAAGCCTTCAGGCAGCCCTCGGCCCCTTTGGCTTGGCCACGCGTCGTTCCTACAGCAGCCCGCAGCTCTGCGACAACGGGAACTGTAGGGACAGTAAAGCAACAGCTGTCGTTACATCAACACGCAAGGACTAGCGCGTCTGCTTATGGTGTAATTCCATTTCTGTTTAAGTCAGTAAAACCATCCGTCTCAATTCTTACAGCGGGTGCACACCCACCGGGCGATTCCCCCTCCTGGCACCGGCTCACCGCGAACCCAAATCCCTCTCGGGACGTCACGCAGGATCCCCGCGTGAAAGCCGAAGCGGGGAAAGAGACGCCGAAGGTGGAAGCTGGTGGAAGACCTGCCAGCCATAGCAGCAGGCGGGCAGCACGGCCAGGGCAGGGGGAGGCCAGGGCAGGAGGAGGCCAGGGCCCCGCCAGGCCAGGGAGGAGGCGGCGGTGTGGAGGAGCTGTGTGCCGATGCGGCGGGGCAGGACGGGAGGCGAGGGCTGACCTCGCAGCGGCTGTGCGGTAAGAGAGGGGCTGGGGGGTGAAGGCGGGGAAGGGGACGGCTGGGCGAGCAGAAGACGGACGATCCTGCCGCAGGCATTTTGATGACCTGGGGAGGCAGAAGGTGAGATGGAGGCAAAGGCTCCAGTGGTTTGAGCGGGACTGGGAACAGGGTTCAGTTCAAAGCGAAATTTCGCACACCCAGCAGAGAACGGAAGGGTGCTGGAAACCACTCAGCTCCATAGCAGATGACAAGTGGGTGTTTAGACACATTCAAAGGCCAACAGACTTGAACTGCATCATGGAAAACAAAGCCCTTGCTGTGTTGCAGGCGTGTGTTGTTCCTGATAGTTACTTTAGTACCTAGTTTTTGAAGATAAAAAGGCTTCATATTTGGGAAAAAGGTGTAGTCCAACACCTAACACACCCAAGAGATCCTCAAAGGGGAGACATTTAAATTCGCTCCTATTAGTTGTTTCCCAGCATGCAGTTCTGAGGAAGGCCAGCAGCAAAAATCCTCATTTCATTTCTTGTAGGCCCCTCTCTAATTTCAGTTTGGCTTATGTCCCCTGACCCGGCCACTTCTCCTCACAGCTGACGTTCATACAGCTGGCGTGGCCTCCTCTCCAGCCATACCCACCTGTACGCGGGGCTGCCTCAGCCTGCCGTTCATCCCGCTGGGACAGCAGCAGCGTACGCATCAGTCCGTAGGTATTAATGTAAAACACTTTCCCCATGTTTTTAGCTGAGGGATCTGGTACCGTCGTCCCTTCAGATTGCACAGCAAAGCTTCCCAGAGGTTGCGTCTCTAGCACTCTCCATTCAGTAGTGTATGTCAAATCCAGGCCAGAACAAGCCACAGCTGCTAGCTGCTTTCTCCAGATCTAACACACAAAGCAGTCCTGAGGCATTATTTGCCTTTTTTCTTTCATTTGCTGTACGAGTTTCTGCTTCATAGAGAGGCAGAGCATGCTGTTTATTGTATTGCAGCAGCCAGTAGTACGCATGCATTATTGCGCCTTCAGTTGAGAAGTTCAGTCTCCTCCAGAGGACTCTGGTTGCCAGCGCTGGATCTTCTTTCCCTCCTATTGCACCTATAAGCCTTTGCTTCCGTCTCCTGGTGCATGCCAGCGCTCCTGCTCTCCTTCAGCCGGCAGGACTGCGCGGACTGACGCTGCTCTGGAGCCAGCAGGTCAGCGGTCACGGACGAAGCAGTTACCAACCTGGACACCAGGATGGGGTGGGAAGCAGACAGTGCCCCGTGGAGACTGAAACCTTTGGGCAGAGCCCCCTGGGACCAGCAGCACCGGTGGCAGGGGCAGGGGAGGGCAGTCAGGGCTGCGCAGCGGACATTGCAGGGAGCTCCAGGCCGACAGCCATGCTGGTGGCTCAGCCAAGCACAGCTTGTTTCCCAGCAGGGTAAGCGTGCTGCTGAGCGCAACCCAGTGTGGGCACTGGACTGGGAAGTCACACAGCCCTGCTGGGGCGGCCCTTACCGGCGCTGCCATGCTGCCCAACACGGGGTAAGCCACCCCCTCTCTCCCTCCGAGCCCCCAGCCCCTTGTGCCTGGTGAGAAAGGAATCTATCTTCATTTTTTTCAAGATCCCCAAGACTCCAGGGCACAGAGGTGAATTTGACATTTTCTGTCTTACTACCTGAATTCAACTGTGACGGAAGCAGTAAAGACACAACCTTCACACTACAGGGCATAAGCAATTTTAGATGAGCACATGCTTTAAAAACTTGTAAATTACTGGACTGCTAAGTGAATTAAGAGAAATAAATGAAGTCTTGCAAGCTTCTCAGCTTGCTTAGCAGAGTAAAATGCTCTAAATTCTGGGCAGTTCTTTCAGGGACACTGAGTAAATATTTTAAGAGGTTGGTGCATCTGGCTTTGCGGATGCTGTCACAAAGTTGCAGACTATACGTGCGCTTGTCCACTTAGAGCGGGGGCACACGTGCTTTTACCAGTGAGCTTCAATCTTTACCAACCAAAGGGAAGGAAGGGGAAGGGGCTGGCTGCAGTAATGTCGGTTAATCCTTGTAATGCTACGTGAAGGTGCTGCGGAAGGCAGCGCCTTGTCTGTGGCAGTCGGGGGCAGGGGAGCATGTGTGTGCGCATGTGTGCACCTCTGCACAAAAAAGAAAACTTGCATATCACTCGTTATGTCTGTGCAGCCTAACGCAGTGCAATACGCAGGTACGAGAACTAGTGTAGGTAATAAATTCAGGAAAGGAAAAAAAAAGTTAATGAGATGTTAATTTACCAGGGGTAATGAACTGAGGGCCCTGCCAAACTGACCATATTGCTTCCACTTCAAAGCCAGCTCAGGAATCTCTACATGGCACTCTACCACAGAAACAGATCTGCAGGGTGACATTTGCTCTCCCCACCTTTTTTATGGGACACGTGTGCAAGCAGCTATGTGGGAAACTTCAGGTGTCCTGCAGTGATCCAGAGGAGCAGAAGAAAAGAAAACACCTGCAACCTAATACGTGTATTCTCGAGAAGGAATTAGTTTAATCACCGACAAACACCTTCTGTCTTAATCAGCCAGTTACTTCTTCTCTAAAAAATCTCATGTTTTATCCATACTTATTATATTGCATCAGAGAAAAATGAGGACTACCATTTTAAAACAGCATTGCAGTTATATACGAAAGGCCACTGTTCTGCTAGGAAGGCTTTCCCCTCACAGTTTCGAGTTAAGCTGTGTCAGCATCTTCTCCAGCTTTATTGCTAGCGTCATGTTACCTTTAATCCTTAATTTTCCTGACATGAAGGCCAGGGTTGGCTTTAGTTTACCTAAAAAGAAGAAACAGAACCATAAGAAAATGAAAAGGAACTGGAGAGAGCCTGTGCACAGGAAAATGAAATGCCACTACAGCGAGACCTAGAAGCTGTATTGCTACCAAGTTCTGCTGTAAAAGCAGTGCACATTTAGGAAACACACATCGGAGATGTGCAGAACAGGAGTCCAACAGATTGGCTGGATTCTTTCTGAAGCCACACTTGCTGCTAGAATTTCAATACCTAGTTCACAAAAGCCGTAAAAGCTTTTGGGCTCTTCCTGTTCACAGAAGAGTGCAGAAAAATCCAAGGAGCTCTATGCTGCACTTCCACTCGAGCCACAAGAAGCTGAAAGCTCCTCCACCCCGGGATCACAAAGCCAGGGGGCTGCCCACTCGCCCATCGGCAGAAGGCTTTCTGGGCGCCAGTACCTGCATCCACCCTGGCAAAGGCCTCTGTCACTCACCTGTGAACATTTTCACAAAGTCGGCACTCGACATGCTCATAACCACATCAGCCGCCACAGGAGGCTTTCCGAAACCAGCGCTCCCACCCTGGGTCTTCAGGTCAATATACCAAGTGCCTCCTTCATCCCCTGGAGAGACAGTGAAGAGAGGTGACGAGGCAGAACGGGCGCTGTGCCCTCCCTCTTCCTCCCTGCCAGGCGGCCGCGGCCCTTGGCAGCCGTCACACGGCACTACATACGCTGGCGGTGCTCTGCGAGAAGCTACCCCGTGCCCCACGTTCTGCGTGGAGGCGCAGCCAGCCTCCGGCAGACGCCCCGCAGCGCCACGTGTCGGGGGCGCGGGCAGGAGAGCCCCCAGGCAGCGCTTTGCTGGCAGAGCTGCTGGCAGCAGGCGCTTTGAACGTGGCCCTGCGAGCACCCGTCTGTCGCCACGCTGACCCTGTGCCGCAGGGCCAGCGCGGCGGCAAAGCCTGCCCGCGCGCGCCAGGAGCGGCAGCAGCTCCCTGGGCGCTGAGGCTGGTGCTGAGGAGGAGCATCGCACGGAACAGAACAGAAGCGGGCTGTGCCGGGGTCAGCTTGAAAAGGCGACTGTTTCTCTGTGAAAGCACCGAGTGCCTTTGGCTGGGAGCCTGAGCACGTGAAGGTTTTACAAGCGAGGGTCTTACCAGATAATTCAAACTGGAAGACCCCCTGAGTACTTCTCACGTACTCTTCAGTCATCGCCCCCTGAATAACTCTGAACGTTTCTGCAACAGGGCTCAGTGGCTTGGCTGGAGCAGATTCTCTGTCAGCCTTAGCTCCACCTGGTCCTTCATGCTGGGATCCGCTTAATTTCTTCTCCTCTTTGAATGCTTGGGAAGCACCTACAAGAAAGAGGTTATTTTTCTCTTTCAAATGCAAAACGCGTTAGAACTGCACCTAAAATCATGCGTAGAGAACCCCGTTTGGAAAGATTTAAGCTCCACAGTAGAGAAAACCAGTATTTTCCCATCTCAGTATTAATACTGATACAGGGTGTTTTCAGCACCTCGGAGTCTGAACAGGTGCAGAGCACTACAGGTAATTCTGCAATATATTTCACTCCCCAATCCATCAAAAGAAAAGTGAAAATAAAGCCACAGCAGAATTCGGACCGTTCACCGTTCATTACAAATGCTTACACAGCACGTTGTCTTCTAACACAATCCGTACGCTCCTGACAGCACTCACAAAAACAAACCAGTGTCTTCAATAAACACCACTTTCACCTCAAAATACTTCCGTCTTGTCTCTCTTGCTAAGAACACGGATATTTTCATTCATTCTTCTGCAAAGGCTTCTACGCTCTCAATCAATTCACTGCTTTAATCAGCATTTTACTATACCGCAGTGAACATGTGCATTTAACAACGGAGGGCAGCACTTGCAATTTACAAGGCTGATCAAGTTGAACAGCCTCTGAAAATGCCGCCAAAAGTCTCTTCGCGTCTCAAGTATCAAAACATAGGTAGGACTATGCTGTGAGGCCCGCCTAAATAACCTGCGTTGTGAGGCCCAGGGAACGGACACCCCCCGGCCCTGGCAGAACAGTCCTGCTGCCATTGCTCAAATAGCATTTCCAGGGGAAAAGGACTGTTCAAAGTTTGCCTCCTCTGCTCTGCTCTTTTCCCTATTTTGGCACTCCTGTGAAACCTGTTCAGCACTCTTAGTCGCACTCTTAGTCCCCCTCCAACTTGACACACTACAATTCTGAAAAAGCAAAACCCGTGCTTTTCTAAAAGACAACTTCTGCATTTCATCTAAGAGATACTTAAATTGTGTAAATTGTGCAAATTTCATCTAAGAAGCAATGGTGGCTCTACATCATTTTCTTTTGTATAAATTTAGCAAGGCAAATGAGATGTTCCTGCAAAATGTACTATTTGCTATTTAATTTCTTTTTCAGCAATATTTACCTGTCACCTTCATACTACCACAATTCAGATGGTTAAAAAAGGATTCTTCAAAATAAGGCACTGATTTTAAACCTGCAGGAGGTAACATTC